AGCTAAGCAGGGATGATGGAAGCTGAGCAGGGATGATGGAAGCTGGGAGCCGTCGTATTTCTCCTGAAACCAGGTGGTTAGGTTTCGGTTCTCGCCTGTGCCAGTGGCAAAAGAGCCGCGGGAGAATGGCTTTTTCATAAATTCATGCCCCACATTGGGCATCAAATGAAGCATGACTGATAAAAACTCATAGAGAGAAACTGGGGTTCAATCTGAAGATCTGAAAAGCAAAGCAGCCAGCCACTGGCTCTTACCTTCGTCCCAGTCCAAAAATAGTGATCCTGCCAGGGATTCAGGAATCTCAGAATGAGACTGTGTCTGAGAGCTGTCTCCTCTTATCTTAACAATCCTCTCTAGGGCTGAGATTAAAGTTGTGCATCACTGAGATTAAGGGCATGCAGCACCTGGTTTCTATGGAAAACTCGTGTGACTACTGGGTTTAAGTACGTGCTACCACTATCTGTCTGTATGGAAAACAGGTGGGGCTGTTTTACTGTCTGACCTCAGGCAAGCTTTATCTATTAAAATACAAATGAAATGACATCACAGCAGAGGGCTGAGGAGAGCAGTCCTCAGGAGCCCATTGGTGCTGCCCCATGGCCTTGTTATTCCAGGAACTCTGGAGGCCAAGCAGGGGGAGCAAGAGTGCTTGATCTAGCTGGAGAAAAAAATCGAAACTCCGTCTGAGAAACCTAGTGGAATGTATATTGTTCCTCAAGGAACACAGCTCCAAGTGGAGCAAGGAGCTCAGATCAGACACCCTGAGCCACACAGAAGAGAGAGAGAGCAGAATAGGCTGGAACACATTTGTTCGGGGAAAAAAATTTCTGAACAGGACCCAGATCTCATAGACTCTACGAACAATTAATAAACAGGATCTCACACATTGGAAAAAAATCTGTAACAGTTATAATCTGATAGATGGTTAGTATTCAGAGTATATAAAGAACTAAAAACAAAACAAAGAAACAAGAATCTGAAAATCAAAATAAAAACAAATATCCCTACTTAAAATCTGTATATAGTACTAAAAAAGGGCTCTCAAACAATGAAACACAAAAGACTAAGAAACACATGAAACAGGTTCAACACCCCTTAGCCACCAGGGAGCTACAAATTCAAATTGCTTTGAAATTTCATCTCCTCATAGAATGGGCAAGAGCAATAAAACAAATGATAGCATATGTTTTTATGTACTGATACACGTATGATGTCACAGAGAGAGTGACATCACATGCAGTCTGCACGGTTTTAAAGGAGACTAAATCTCAGGACTTAGAAGGGAAGTAGACACAAAGTCCCAAACAAACTTAAATTTTAAAACTATGGTTGTTGCTTCACACATGGTTTCAAAGTACTTATGAATATGCCAATGACATTTTTCTAATTAAAATTCCTAAAATTCACATGAAATCACAAAATACACTCTCTAAAGAGATTAATATTGACCAAGAACAGCAGCACACATACTAATTTGAAGCAAATTCCTGACTATAGTAATCAGAACAGCATGATTTATTCACAAACATGTTCCAAAAGGCTGTTAACAGACACCACAAGAAAAGCAGAGGAGGAGACAATGGATGGTGTCTTTCTCAGAATACCATACTGAATGACATTAATTTGTATGATTAACCTGTGTTGATGAGTATCCTTGAAGTATGATAATAACAAGAAAAGGATGTATACCAATGGGACATAGGAAGAGGCTTAGAAATAAATCGATGAATTAACTATCTATCTGCCAAGGCTGTCAAAAACCCACAAACCAGGAAGACAGTGCTTTCCACAAATAATGCTGGAGAAACAGGGTACCCGCAGCAGAAAGGCAGAATTGGATCCCATGCACACTATACACAAAAGCCAGCGGAAATAGATACAGAGAAGTGCTAGGATGTGACCCTGGACATCACAGTCACCGAGTGCGTGTGTGAGGCAAGCAGAGCAGCATAGGGAAGGAACGGCTGCAATTTTCTCAGCCAAGGCAGGGACTCAACCTGGAGTGATGAATGGACAGAGAAAACACGCCACACATTTGCACTGGACTCAGATAAAGACACACAAAAAAACCCCTGTGATATAAACATGCAGATGAACATGGAAAGTGTCTAGGTGAGTGGCATTACCGGTTCTATGTGTAGAACTAAGGGAAGGAAGAAAAGGATGAATCAGCAAGCAAGATGACACAGGGTGGAAAGGCTCTTACTGTGCAACCCCAACAGCTTATTTCAATCTTTGGAACCCATATGAAGCGGAAAGGCGTTGTGACCTGTGCCAACACACACGCGTGTGCGCGTACACGCGTGTGCGCGCACACACACACACCAATCATCAACATACACACACATACATGCATCTACATGCACCACATAACATCTCACATGCAGCAAGAATTTTTTAAAATCACTCAATTCAGTTATTTAAACAGCCAAATTTATCCAATTTAGCTATTGTGGGGAAAACAGGCCTTCACTGAACCTGTAGAGTCAGTGTTCTCAAAAACTTCCAGATTGTCCTGAGTACGGTTGATGAGGTTCACCATAAAATATGTGAACCCAAGGGGTTGGACAGATGGCTCAATGATAAGAATACTTGCTGCTCTTCCAGAGGACCACAGTTTGGTTCCTGACATCCACATCAGATCACTTCTAACTTTCTGTAACTCTAGCTCCAGGGAATCCAAAGCCTCTGAATATCCAGGATGCCTGTACTCACACATGATTACCACAAGCAGACACACACACACTACACACAATAAAAATATAGCTCTCAAAAATGTAAACCCAATCCTTAACCCCATTTCCAAAATGTATCCTTGGTATCTCAGAAGACGAGTCAGCCATTGTTCACCAACTGAGAGGGGATGATGTCATCTACCTTCCTACGGGAGCATCTGTCCACCTAACTGCTTCTAGTGTTATGTCATTCACCTTCTCATGGAAGCATCTGTTCACCCAACTGCTCCTGCTGTGATGTCATCTACCTTCCTATGGGAGCATCTTTCCCCCTGACTGCTCTTGCTGTGATGTCATCCACCTTCTCATGTCACTGTTTCTAGTAGAAGCAGCATTGTGTCACCTGGTTCACCTTTCAGAAGGGAAGACCTTGTACATCTAGCTCTGAGAGAGCTGATGGGTAACAGCTCTCATATGTCAGCACTTAGAATGACAAAGGCCTCCAGGGAAGACTTCCAGTGATGGGTAGGCACTAGTGATGAATACCCCCACCCTTTACCCAACACAGGCTAGCTCTTAAGAACCCGCCCTAGTTCTCCTTCTAGAGTTCAGAGGTCAGAGGCTGCCCCCCCCACCGTGACTGCTCTTCCTCTCTGCATCCTGCCTCTTTCCAGGTACTGGACTATATGAGAAACACACAGGTAGGATTCGCGACGAAACTAGGAAGGTTCTTCCCTAATATCTAACAACTATACTTATAACCCAGGAATTTAACTACTAAACAAATTTTTATTGGGTCGACTCAAATCATTCACTCAGGTGACAAGAAATAAAAGCATGTTTCACCTAATATAATACATCTTATCACTGGACAGTGGTGGTGCAGGTCTTTAATACAGCCCTTGGGAGCTATGAGCAGGAGAATCTGTCAGTTTATGACCAGCCTGGTCTAGAGAGCAAGTTCTAAAATAGGCTTCAAAGCTGCACAGAGAAACCCTGTCTTAAAAACAAAAGCAACAACAAAAATCTGACCTTGTCTAAATGTGAAATCTAAATAAATCAGTCTTTATCTCACCTACTGTAGTTCAGTCTGTAGAACTATTAGATGTATTCATGAATAGGTCAACCAGTTAGATAACAAGGGCTCATAAGGGTCATCCTACCTTTTCCACATCGCCCAGGCCCTCAGTGTCCAGGAGGACCAGGGTGTGCCCTGGCTTGGTGGGATGGGGCACACACCACATCCAGATACCCTTGGTTTCAGACTGCACAGTGGAGCCAAGAGGGAAGCCTGTGGGGAGAGGTGAGGGATAAGGGTCAGTTTATGAATGTTCTGCATAGGCAGCCTTGTGTGCTAAAAATATCAGTGCCCAGAAACCTCGTGTACTAAAGATTGAGTGCACGAAAGCCAGCAACATTTTGGATTCTGAAGGTTTGGGGAGTTGAAGCCTAGGTGGAGGATATGGAACTCTTAACTCTTCCCAACCCCTTCCTCAATCTCAGATACCAGTCTTCCATGCAGCTGCCTCTGTGATGTCACTATAGCCCCAGGATCAACGAACCCAACCACTGGGGAGTGAAATCTCTGAAACCATGTTGAGGCAAGTCCTTCCCCATTAAGTTGTTCTCCCCTGTGTTTCAGTCCCAGCCATGAAAAGCAAAGAACAGAACAATGCACACGAAAATCGGATGTATGCAGTAGAATTGGCAGTGTGGTGAATCTCAACAGTCAAAATGGTGCTTCATCTGTCCTCAAAAATATATTAGTTTATAAGTCATCTATTTCAAGCTATAGTGGGCATTTAACAAGAGAATGATGCCTCAGAGGACTCCAAATGGAAACAGAGGCATCCACGAATACAACATGGCGCCCTCTGGTGGCGGCAGTGAGGGTTTTGAGCCAGTCAGGGTTGTACTCACCTGTCATCCCTGAAGGCAGGAGACAGAGGCAAGGAATTGTCATTAGTTTGACAGCAGCTGGGATTACATAGCTAGAGCCAGGTCAAACAACAAGACAGTCAAAAAAAACAGGTATTTTTACAAATTGTGGGAAATGGTATGGGTTCCATGTCAGAGACACACAAGAAGAGAAGAGCAGGAAAGTAGAAAAAAGAAATTGTTATAATAGTTTTTATATTCAAAATTATCAAAGAAAAGCAGGAGTTAAATAAACAGGAATGTGCAACAACAAACGTATATAAAGTCCTTTCAAATGTTTTTTAAAAATTTATTTACAAATGTACAGTTATTAAGATTTATTGATTTCATTTTATGACGATCAGAATTTTGACTACATGTATGTGAGTGCACCATGCACATGCCCCTAATGCATAAAGGCCAAATAAGGGCAGCCAATCCTCCAGAGCTGAAGTCATGGAGAATGTTGAGTCACCACATGGGTACTGGCACCAAATCCTATCCTCTTCATGAGCAGCCTACATCATCTCTCCAGCCATACACAAATTTTTAAAGTCTTAGGTATTCAAAGAAATATTCCCTGGTGGAAATATTTTATTGAGAAAGAAAACCTGCTGTATGAGACCAGAGACCAACACATAGGATCCCATTGCTTAGAGCATCAGAAAAGGCCCTTTCTTGAGCAATCCTGGGAGAGAGTTTCCCTGATGGAATGGAAGGAAAGAATTCAAGAACCAAGTATTAGCAAGCAGTAATTACTCATGCAAATTAGCATGAGAAGGTAGAGGTGTTGAAGGAGTTTGGCTTTCCTTTGTTTTAATTGGGAATCAAAATTAAGATAATGGCACAAAGACAGTCAGCTCTTTGGCTAGTTCCCAGCATGCCACTCACCGTGATTCTGTCCTGCCAGACGGTTCATCAGGTAGGACTTCCCTGTACGGTACAATCCAACAATAGCCACAACTACCACTGGCTGGGAAATGTTGTCCAGAATCTCTATGGCTGTTTGGTTCACAGACAGCTCGTCCTTGTGGTTCTCCACCAGACAAATGGGAGCCATCATTTGTGGTGTGGCCATAGCAACTGCCAAGCTAGAAGAATCTGAACGAAGAATTCAAAGTCATTTTCAGCCTGTGTTACTCAAGCCCAAGGTGAGTTAGAACTGATGACATTTGTACATTTCCTAAGGCAGCAAGCAGATACAGAGGACATTCTCTATCATCCTTCCACAGTTCTAGAGAAGATTTGGTAAGACATGGGCTGCCAGCATGAAGAAAGATGGTCTTCAATGGAATAAAACCCAAACAACAGCCATCTTCATAATATGCTACAATATGCTAAGCCTTGTAATGAATGCCTTACCTTGTGAAACCCACAATCTGTAAGTGTCTACAGGTTACAGGTTACTGCATGCTGCCAATAAGGTAGGTGAGTTTCCAAAGCCTTAATGACCCAGCAAAATGGCAGAGCAGTGGGTTCTAAGCACTTATTCACTCTGTAAATTTAAAATGGCTGAAAATGTATGGGAGTGTTGGAACACACCCATGAACCACGCACACACTGAGATGTCCAAATGAATAAACAGTGTGAATTACATGTGTGTTCCCTTAACTTTTCACTGTTTACCACCACCCTCCTGACAGATTGTGTCTGCAGGAAGCAAAGGTGACTTTATTGTAATAGGCTAGCCTAGGGCTAACCTGGTCTCTCTTTTACCTAACTTGGATTTCAAGAACAGATTATTTCTTGAATGTGATATCAAAATATCAACAGGGTTAATATAGATAAAACCCATGTTGCAAAATTAAGAATTTTTGTGTGCCAAAGGGTGAGTACTGTATATTAAATATGCGATACAAGATTAATATCTTAACCCTCTACAGTTACAACTCAGTTTTAAAATGGGCAGAACATTGGACTCTTATTTCTCCAAAGCAGGTTATGAATGGTCACGAGCACATGAGAAAACATTCAATATTGCTAATCACTCTGTACAAGACAACTCTAAAATTTTAAAGAATTTATTTGAAAAGATGCAGTGTACGAATTGGGAAGTGCCAGACTGAAAGGTAAAGTATCTATGTTCCCACAGCAACATGTAGGTCTGCTTTATTAGGAAAATGTGGGAGCAAAATTAAGAAACTTTAGCTACAAGATTTCTGTCTTGTGGATCTGGAGACTGGTGTAAACGTCTATAGTCACGTGATCTCGTGTGACTTAGTTTCTTAGGCTTTACTGAGGTTGAATCTTGCTTCTGGGAAACATACATACTTACTTGAAATCACTTGCTTGATTTTGCTTGTGTTTGCAGTTTAAGCAAGAATGAGGTCATCATAAGACCTACTTGGTTTAGTTGCTCAACAATCTTTCAAACCCAGTCTGCATTATAACAAGGCTTTAGGGAACATTGAGGAATTGCCACTCAAAACCAGAAGATGTCACCTTGTACCCACCAGGACAGCTACCACACAAAACAAAAACAAATAAATGTGAACCAGAATTCAGATTGAAAGACTCCCGCAGGGCATCTTCCCTCGGGAGAGGCCCCGTGCCCCAAAGATCAGTCGAAAACACGCAGCCAGATGCAAACAGCAGGAGGTTTATTGGTGGATACACAGGTACCTGGGCGACAAGTCTCTCGGATGACTTGCGCGTCGCAGGTTGGGGATGAGGGGTTCTTATAGGGGAGCAAAAGCGCGGGTACAGAAGCAGAAAAGCTTTCATTTCGTTGGTCAATTTAAATAAGGCTAAGCTGAGTGGCACACTCCTGACCTTTTACCTAAATACCAAGGAGGGGGTTGTCCAGACCCACCTGGATACCAAAGAGGGGGTTGTCCTACCTGTTTTTCTTATCTCTTCCTGCCTTCCTAGCTTGGCTGGCGACTAGATGTCTGATTTGCACATCCCCTGACTCGTGAGAGGCCTGCTCTGTACGTGACTCAGGCCTCGCAATCCTCTCTTCCTCCCTTGAAGTCTTTGTTCCTACTCATGTCAGTTCATAAATCTCCTGTCCTGCTGCCAGATAAGGCTGTCCTCGCTCTAATCTCAGGTGTCTTTGCTTTAGCATTCTGGAGGTCCTGAATTAAGCCAGTTATTTGTTCAGCACTCTGGAGGCCCTGACTCCGGAGGTCTTAATGGAGCTTGCTATCTGAAAACCTTTGCAGAGCGTTATAACTGTGGTTAAAGTTAAAACCATAGTTTTAACTGTGACCCCAATGAAGTTGGGGTCCTTCAAAATCACTTAGATATTTGTGCACTGCAGCTAAGAACAGAGAATGATGCTACCTCATGGAGAACACAGGCTTGGCTTCTTATAAGATAAATAGTAACCTTTGATCCAAGAACTCTGTTTTAGCTACATACAACACACAGACATGGATTTGGACAGTCATTTGAACACCAATGATCACAGAAGCCAACGGCACAGTACCCAAAATGTGATTCTAACCCAATCTCTCAGCAACATATGATCCACAGATGTGTAGATTCACAGAGTGTCATAGCCCACATGATAGAATGTTATTAAGCCAGAGAAAAGAATAAAACTCTACTGCCACATAGAGGAGCCTGAGGACATTGTGCTGAGGAAGGAGAATGTACAGAATCACGAGCATTTGGATGACAGGTGACGTCACAGGTTCTCTTCAACTTGCTCTCATAAATGAGAATAAAATCAATAGCATGAATAAAAAGCATAGAGTCCTTGTCAGTGGCCTGAGCTGAAGTTGCCAGGGCAGGGTGAACTGGAGTCAGGCTGCCACTTTGATTCTGCCTCTTGTCTAAAGAAAGAAACCGAACTTCTTACACCTAAAGTCAGTCGCACCCCTGCAGACCAGAAAACACAAACCTGCCTTTCCAGGATGTCCTTCAGCTGCTTCTTAGAAATGGAAATTAACTTTAGCTTCCAGACTAAGATGCTTCTTAAAGAGAGAAAAAGTAAATATATCTGGTTCCCCTCCACAGGTGCAAGAACAATTCTCAGCTGCCTCAGTCTTCCTTTGCTTTCCTGCCTTTGGCTTCCTATGCTGCTCTTCTTATAAGTGAATAAACCACACACACACATACACACACAAAAAAAATCACATGGTGCAGCAGAAATGAAACTGAAAGTAAAGACCTCAAAGCCCTGTTAACTTAGTCAAGATGCTGGAGGGCAGGGGGGCCAGGAAGTGACTCTGCTGACTCAGGGAAAGCAGTCCTCTCACTGTGGGTAGTTTTTACATTTTGTTTCTCTTTAAACTCTCTTCAATGCTCTTGGCAATGAACAAGTCACAGCAAACCCGAGGCACCAACTAAGGGAAGTTACCTGGACAGCTGCAAACACATTTCTCTCAAAGGAAAGTCCCCAGGCTTCCTCAGTGAAAAGTTTGAATGTTTTTAATACGTCTTCTAAACTGGAAAGCCTTCATCTAAAAACAGTTTTGAAAAGAAGCAATCAGAAAACAATGGGTAGGGATAGTGAGACAGCTCAAGGGGGAGTGCTCTAAAGGCTCCAGCAGTGCCAGCCTGGTGGCCCAGCTCTGTCTCTGGAACCCATGCTAAGGTGGAGTGGAGAACTGATGTCATAATTTATCCCCTCAGCTCTACAAGGGTATCCCGGCATGTAAACACACAATACTAAACACATTTTTAAAAAAAACAAAAAAGAAAATAAGTGAAACTCTAGAAAGACGTAGATTTCAAAAGGACAATAATTAGGGACACCAAATCAGTAGCAAAACAGCTTAAGACTTCCAAGAAAAAACAATACAATGAAATTTGAATGTCTCATTTCACATGTTGTCAGTGTCTTCTTTAAAGTTAGACCTTTAGTGAACTGAGCATGTGAAAAAGTTTAAAATGCCATGGTCATCACAGCCAGATTTCCTTTCTAATAGCTGACATCTTGGGTGGGGAGCTCCTGCCTGTGAGGGACCAGCTGCTCAGGCAAGCCTCCTCCAGGAGCGTCCTTAAAACAGACAGGGTGGGAGCAGCTGTGTGAAGAGCTCTGATGACAACCAAAGCAGACAGAGTTGAGGGACAGCAGCACTGAAGCTGACCCAATGCCTTCCCAGCTCCCTCCTGCCATCAGCCATTAAACCTCCCAAGTACAAGGCCAACTCCAGAAAAGGCAGGAAAACAAAACCTGCTAAGCACATCTGTCTGAATCTGCGTTATTCTTGAGGAAAATCATTAGCATTCCAACACCAGACAAACCTGGATCCTCAGACCAATGGCATGCTCTAAACCCTGTGCCTTGAGATCCAGAAGCTTAGGCTTTGGGAATAAGGACAAATATATATGGGGCTAACCTTGGCCCCATCGATGTGCTGGAAGAATATGGAACCTCTCTTGTTCAAAAAATATTACCTGAAATTTCAAAAGAAAATTTCTAGGCATGTGAATAAACATGATCAAATATTCCTAAAGTGAGAACATAGAAGGAAGCTGACAAGTAATGTGAGGACCTAGAAAAATCTACTTAGCCTCACAGACTTTATCTTGAAAACAGGCCTCATTTTAAGACATCTGGTGACAAGTGTTTGAATTCCGTTCCTAATAAACAAAATCATAGAATGTGCTGTGGCAGCAAAATTTAAACAAACCCCTAGACATAGTCAATCAGAAGACATGGTAATAAATGTTACAAGGTCCAGATGTTCTGGCAGACATCCTGTAGGCAGTTTGTGGTTTTGCGTCAATAGCTTGACCAATGATTTTAAAAATCCACTTGCCCCATACCCCAATTCAATCCTGAAACACCAACACATGTAATGCCCTGCGTGTGTGTGTGTGTGTGTGTGTGTGTGTGTGTGTGTTTCCTTTAAAACTCACCCTCCATAGAGTTTGGGGCTGCATGCCCTCCGTCTGTTGTGTCTAAGTGTTGGGTTGTGGACCAGACTCGAGTATGTCAAAAAAGACCCTTGGGTGTTTGCATCAGACCACCCTTGGTGGTCTCATTGGGGAACTCAAGATGTGGGCACAACAGTAATCCAGACTGCAATTAGCAATCATTAATAATATGAAAATTTATTGTTACATTCAAAGATGGAAAGGAATTACAGATTTCTTATCTCAAGACAAAAAATATATTTTAAAAACAATCATAATTAAGATTTCAATCAATGCATTTAGCAACCACTTAAACACTGATTGAATAAGAAAGAGAACTAGAGAAACTCACGACTGATACTGAAATGAAATCCATTATGAATGAGAATTATATGAAAAAAGAAAACTACAAATTGGAAAGAGCTCTACACAGAAGCAGAAGGTATCTGCAGGAGTTGATGAACACGTCTGGAGTACCTTTACATGAACGTCTGTCATGGGAGAAAATGCAGAAGACAACAGCACATAGAGAAACACGGGCCTGGCGTTGAGAGCACAGGACAGTGCATCTTCATCACGTGTGAGGCCAGGGAAGCAACTCCAAGGTGAAGTGCGCTGCCCTGGTAACTGACAGCTGGCAAGAGGAACATATTGGTATCCTGAGACTCAAATCCAGCTCAGGTATTTAACCTGACACTGTCTCCTCCTACATGGTAGAGCAGTACTGGGAATAAACTCAGTGAAAATAACACTATTATGGGGATGCCATGTGAAAAACAAACATG